GTTGCCATTTCTCCGCCCCCTCGTCCAGCAGGGTTGGGGAGAAGGATCTAGGCCTGCACAGGTTCGGAGGATCGATCCGCATCGCCGATGCAACGCCGATGCGGCTCGATGTGAAACTCGATTTTCTACACGCCAGCGATGCCGATGCACCGCCGACGTCGCCGATGCATCACCGAAGCGTCGGTGTTGCATTGGCGACGTGACGCCATCCACCGACCCCGTCTACTCGGACTCCATTTGGGATGCCTCCAGGTGGAGAGGAAACGGAGGGACGAGAAACAGGGGTGGGAATTTCGGACGTTCTCGTCGCTTCCTGAAGACCTTGCTGCCCTGGAGATGCGTTCCATTAGCTGCGCCTCGCCGAGAGCGCTCCAAGGATGCCAGAGTCGTCCCGAACGGCCGCCAGAAGCCCGAGTCATGGCCTGGCAGCCGGCGGAGTGGCGAGTGGCGGAGGAGGGCCAGTCGAGACAACGGCGGTTTTCCCTGGCGTTTTTCGTCTCCAGGGTCTCCTGGAGGTGTTCCTCCTCCTCCTCTTCCTCTTCCTCCTCCTCTCCTCCTCCTCCTCCTCCTCCTCCTCCTCCTCCTCCTCCTCCTCCTCCTCCTCCTCCTCCTCCTCCTCCTCCTCCCCTTTCTCGTGACCACGGCTGGCTCCCCCCTCGAGAACGGGTCAGGAGGGGCCCCAGGGGCTGAGCGGACCTGGGACCGGCGGGAGAGCCGCCCTGGTCTCGGCCGGCCAGCCGAGCCGTGCGGTGAGGTGCTTCAGGTTCGTGCCGTGCCGAGGCGGCGGCGACCGCAGCGCGGGCGCTCAAAAGGCTGAACGCCGCCGGTGGCCCAGCAGCGGCCGACGTCGGTCGAGCTGCGCTGTCAGGAAGCCGCCATCGTCCCAGGTCGAACGATGCACACGGTGTCTCGGGCCGGCGCGAAGGTCGTCAGGGCAAGAGCCTGCCGCAGGGTACGAGGCAGCCTCGCGCAGGTGGTCCTGCTGTCGCGTCCGCGGGGCAGGTGGCCTTGCGCAGAGAGTTCCTGGGCAGACCGCGAGGAAGGTCGGGGAGAGGCAGCGCTGACCCGGGCGCCTTGCCCCCGTTGGCATCTCATTGAATCCTCAGAGTGGGAATTACGGCGCGCCTTCACAGGGAAACGAGCACGCAAGTCTTGCTATCAGTGGGTGCTCGGTGGTTTTGTTCGGGGGCAGTCTTGGCGTCACGAAGTGCGAAGGACGGGGCCGACTTGAGGTTCCTCCAGCCGCCCGAGGACCCAGCCGAGCGCCTCTTGAGGTCCATGGGCCGCGAAATGCGTGAGGGGTGAGCCGAATCGGAGCTCCCATGAGCCGTCTTGAGGTGCCACCTCAGCGCCTCTGGGGGTCCCTGCGTTACGGAGTGCGTGAGTCCGAGGCGGGGATTTATCCATAACCACCGCCTGGGGGATCGATCGTCGCGGACCTCCACAGGCGGTGGATGTGGACATATTCGGGCCCCCGGGGGGCAAAATGTAGCCATCTCCATCGTCGGCTGGGGCTCCAGGGTGTCGGTTCCCAAGCGGTGGATATGGATAATTCCCCGCCTCGCAGTGAGGGTGCGCCGGAATGATACTCCATCGAACTGACTTCAGGGGCCAGCTGAGTGTATCTGCGGGTCCATGAGGCGGGGAGCGCGTGAGGGTGGTCTCGGAATGTTGGCTCCCCGCAGCCGTCTTGAGAGGCCAACTGAGAGCCTTTTTGGGGACCATGGGGCCCGAATTGCGTGACGGGTGTGTCGGATTAGAGTCCTCGTCGGTTTGTGAGTGCCAGTCCGTTGTTTGTGCCTAGTAGCATTTCGCAAGAGGGCTCTACTGGTGCTAGACAAGGACCACAGAAGAGTCCTGGAGCGGGGACGGGGAGCTCGAGAACGCCCGTTGCTGGCAGCCGTTTTGCCCGAATCTTCCTCAGTCGTGCTCTCGCCTCAGAGCCGCTTGCAGCCTTGGCCCGGGCGACCACGACCCATTGTAGCAGACGGCACTACGGTGCACGTGGCCGTGCTCTCATGCTTGTCACACGGCCACGATCTCTTGTGAAATACATCCTACGGTGCACATGGCCGGGCTCTCGCCCCTGTCACACGGCCACGACCCCCGGAGACAGATGCACCACGTTTAAAATGGCCGTGCTCTCATCCCGGTCACACGGCCACGATCCCTCGTGCCATAACAAACTACACTTCGATGCACACGGCCGTGCTCTCATCCCTTTCACACGGCCACGATCCCTTGTAGCAAAGTACATTCTACGGTGCACATGGCCGTGCTCTCACCCCAGTCACACGACCACGATTTGGGGTACAGAATCCACTACGGTGCACATGGCCGTGCTCTCACCTCTGTCACGCCGACTTCGGAGTCCCCGGGAATACCCAGGAATGGTTGTTTTTACTCGCCGACATCCTTCTCTCGATCCGCCTCTTCATCTTTGCTGGGGTACTTTCCTGGGGTACTTTCGTGTGCAAGAAGCCTGGACCACAGACAGATACATGGTACCCTCACGTCCGCCATGAGCCCGATAGTACACATTGGTACAGACCACTCCTGTTTTCGCACGCCCCAGAAGAATCCGAGGGCGGAGTGCGCGGAGTCCCTCCCAGCATGCTTTTTGCATGCCATGTCCGTCTTCCTCCCCAAGCTCTGCCAACCTGCAGCGTCAATCACGGCTCTAGCCGCCCTGCTCCCACTTCGCTCCCGCAGGGGGCCCAACGAACTGAGCCCGCGGCGCGGGAGTCACCTCGGTCCCCCAAGAGGAAGCGACCACGGAGGGTGCTCAGAGGTGCGGCTTTGACGAGGGTCGGTGCCAGTCGTCGTAGTTTTTCTCCGGGGGCTGTCTTGGCTCCACCTGAGGAGTCGCGGCCACCCGTAGCCTTCTTGGGCGCTTGTGGCATGTGTTGGCCAGATGAGGGCTATTGAGCATTCACAGAGCACGTTGTGCGTGAGAGGTGCGCCGAATTGAGGCTTCCCCCAGTCGTTCCGAGCGCTGGCTGAAGGCCCTCGGGGGGGCTCCGCGGTCGCGAGGTGCGTGATGATTGCTCCGAACTGCGGCTCCCTCGAGCCGTCTTCAGTGGCCAGCTGAGCACCCCCGGGGGTGACCCCTGCATTTTGCCTCCTGCCTCTTCCTGCCTCCCTCGCCCGCCATTCTCCTTACCTCCTCCTTCCTCCCTCCTGCCTGCTCTCTCCTCCCTCCTCATTCCTGAACTGCTGTCCCTGCACCTCCTCCATTCGCTTCTGCTCCGCCGTTGCTCCTCCTGCTGCTCGTGCCGGCCGCCCAGGCTTCTATCGTGGACTCTCCGCGTCGCTACTGCGGGAAATGTCTTACAGCGGCATCCGCATGGGCATGTACGAGCCCGTCAAGGACAGATATCATAATAAGTTTCTGGCAGAGGAGGCTGGGAACGCGGACGAGGAGGATGACGTGGAGGAAGGAGCCGATAAGGATGAGGAAGTTGATGAGGATTTGTAGTAGGTATCATAAGAGGACGGAGCATCCTATTTACTTCGTTTGATTTCTAGTATCCGTACCTGCTTTTGAATCATGGGCCAATTCGCACACATCGAATATTATAATGGTAATACACCTGCGATTTTTTTTCAGAATTACTTGTATTTTTATACGTGCTGACAATATAAGCAATTCTGCGATTAACGCGAACACTACGACGCACGCACATACTACACCCAATAGTAAACAACTTCCGACAGCGAAGACAACCAACCACAATCACACTGAGCACAACACGAGCAGCAGTCAGACAACTAATCCGAACCATATTAATAATGCAAAGAAGAAGAGCACTAGCACGACTAGTAGTACTAACAGGAGGCCAGCGCGCGCGTGGGCCCACGCCTTGCGCGGAGCCGGGGGGACCCGCGCAGGAGGGGCCCTCTCCTCTTCCTCCGCCTCCCCCTCCTCCTCCTCCTCCTCCTCCTCCTCCTCCTCCTCCTCCCTTTTCTCCTCCCCCTCCTCCTCCTCCTTCTCCTCCTCCTCCTCCCTTTTCTCCCCCCCCTCCGCCGTCGAGCTTCGAGCTTCGGAGTTGCCTGTGCAGCCCCTTCCACCTCTTTCTCTTCCTCCTCCTCCTCCGTCGTCGTGGGGATTACGTCTGTTTTGGTCAGGAGGTTTTGCGTTATGTGGCTGTTCCAGGAGCCCACATCATTAAGAAGCGTCGTGGGCTCCTGGGCCAGTGATGACCCCCTCGCCTCGCTCCAAGACGTGGCTTGGCGGCAGGGGGGGAGCCCGGAGGGGGAGGGCCTCGTCTCCGAAAGGGCTTGTCATGGAAGGGGTCGGCCATGGATCCGTTTGTCGAAGGCTTTCTACCCGAGGTTTTCTCATGAGGGGAGTTCTGCCTGATGTGATTCTGTCGCTGATCCCGTTGCCGTTTCCATTCCATCCCTCTCCGTCGAGGCCATCGGTGCCTTCCGCGGCTCACCGCCGAGGCCACCGAGGAGAGGCCAGGGCGGGTGTCCGCGACCAAACAGTCCACGCGGCCCTTGCCTTTCCGCGGCGCGCCCGGCTCAGGAGGCCCTGGGGGCGGGCGGGAGGTCGCCGCTGGCCCTCAAGGCGCCTGCGGCCCGCCCTCCGTGGACGGCGACCCAGGGGGGTCGACGGCGACGATGCGACGACGACAACGATGGCGAAGCGACGGCCACGAGGGCGACGGCGACGGCGACGGCGGCGGCGACGACGATGTGGACCATGGCGACAGGTTGCGCCAGACTGGGGGTGCCAAGCACGGCGACGCCCCTGATGCGACGCTCTTGGGCGGGTGAGGCTGCATGGACAGACTAGGCCCCACAGTGCTTGCACCCTTCTGAGGGAGTGCATGGTGTACCGTGCGTGGTATTCAGCGATCAGCAGCATCCAACGGACGGGAAGAGCTTTCAGAGATACCAGGCTCCAGAACAACGTTCAGTGTGATCGGGGCAGGCTCTGGAGCGACAACCTACGTCACTCCAGATGGCAAGTTTTGAGCAGACATCGGCCCAACCTGATGAGTGCTGAAGCATGTCCTATGTGGAACGGGGGTCGTAGAGACACTGCTTCGGATGCGAGGCAGCGCGCGCCACTTGGGCCGATTCTGTAAGAGTCTATGTATGTATGTATGTATATATACATAACGTGGGACTGGGTCCGGGGGCCGGGGGCCGCAGCCTCGACCACAAATGTTGGGCCCAGGGCCCGGGCCAGCCTCTGGAAGGCCTAAAAATCGCCCCGGGGAGCCCCCAGACAGCAATCCCGGCGGCCCCAGACGGTCTCGAGACACCCCCAAGACGCCGTCCAGGGGTCTTTGGCGACGCACGATGCGTTTTGAATTGCCCCGTAGGCCCCCAAGACGCCCCAAGAGGCCTTTCAGATGCCGCCCAAGAGCGCCCCGAGAGGGCAAAATTGTTGATTCTGATTGGTTTTTCCCAACCATCCTGTGGTGTTGGGTCCTTGTTTTGAGGGGACAGCGCCCGCATCCTCCTTCCTTCCTTCCCTCTCCTCCCGCTGCCTCCCCTCCTCCCCCTCCTGGCCTCTGCCCTCCGCATGTCTCTCTGTCGGCACACCCTTCACACGTTTCGTGGCCCCATAGGGAGCTCCAACTACGGTCCCAGTGGCGGAACTCGCATGTCGTCTTCGCCCTTATTTTGGCACACCCCTCGCACGTTCCGTGGCCCCATAGGGAGCTCCACCTACGGTCCCAGTGGCGGAACTCGCATGGCGTCCCCGCACCCATTTTGGCACACCCCTCACACGTTTCGTGGCCCCATAGGGAGCTCCAACTGCGGTCCCAGATGCGGAACTCGCATGGCGGTCCCCGCACCCATTGTGGCACACCCCTCACACGTTTCGTGGCCCCATACGGAGCTCAACCTAAGGTCCCAGTGGCGGAACTCGCATGGCGTCCCCGCATTCATTTCGGCACACCTTTCACACGTTTCGTGGCCCCATATGGAGCTCCAACTATGGTCCCAGCGGCGGAATTCGCATGGCGTCCCCGCTCCCATTTTGGCACACCCCTCACACGTTTCGTGGCCCCATGGGGAGCTCCACCTACGGTCCCAGTGGCGGAACTCGCATGGCGTTCCCGCACCCATTTGGCACACCCCTCACACGTTTCGTGGCCCCATAGGGAGCTCCAACTATGGTCGCAGTGGCGGAACTCGCATGGCGTCCCCGCGCCCACTTTTGCACACCCCTCGCACGTTTCGTGGCCCCATAGGGAGCTCCAACTACGGTCCCAGTGGCGGAACTCGCATGGCGTCCCCGCGCCCATTTTGGCACAAGCCGCGCACGTTTCGTGGCCCGATAAGGAGCTCCACCTACGGTCCCCGTGGCGGAACTCGCATGGCGTCCCCGCACCCGTTTTGGCACACCCCTCACACGTTTCGTGGCCCCATAGGGAACTCCACCTACGGTCCCAGTGGCGGAACTCGCATGGCGTCCCCACGCCCATTGTGGCACACCCTTCACACGTTCCGTGGCCCCATAGGGAGCTCCAACTACGGTCCCAGTGGCGGAACTCGCACGCGGTCCCCGCACCCATTTTGGCACACCCCTCACACGTTTCGTGGCCCGATAAGGAGCTCCAACTAGGGTCCCAGTGGCGGAACTCGCATGCGGTCCCCGCACCCCTTTTGGCACACCCCTCACACGTTTCGTGGCCCCATCGGGAGCTCCACCTAAGGTCCCATTGGCGGAACTCGCATGGCGGTCCCCACGCCCATTTCGGCACACCCCTCACACGTTTCGTGGCGAACTCGCATGGCGGCCTCGGGCCATTTCGGCACACCCCTCACACGTTTCGTGGCCCCATACGGAGCTCAACCTAAGGTCCCAGTTGGCGATTTCGGCACACCCCTCACGAGGGTCGTGGCCGAGCTCCACCGAAGGCGCCAGTGGCAGGGTTCGCATGGCGGCCCCAGGCCATTTCGGCACACCCCATCACGAGGATTGCGGCCCCATAGGGGGCTCCACCGAAGGCTCCAGCGGCAGGGTGCGCATAGCGCCCTCGGGCCATTTCGGCACACCCCTCGCCAGTGGCACCTTCCCTCATGGCTCTCAGAGCCCTCTCCTGCTTCTGCTCCTCGGTCAAGGGGCGCCGTCCTCGTCGTAGTCGGCGCCCGCGAAGACAGCCGCGAACGTGTCCCTGAGCATGTTCGGCTCCGGCGGGAAGCCGTGGCCACATAGGGAGCGTGGGCGAAGATGGTATTCACAATTGCGGTATTCACAACTATTGCGGTATTCACAACTTCGTATGGTTGGGTCTTTCGCCAGGCTCATTCAAATATTTTTTTCCATTCTCGCTGTTTCGTGTTTCCGGCGCTAAAGCACCGCCCAAGAGGCTCCCAAAACCGTTGCAAGACGGCCCAAGGGGCCCCCAATGGAGCCCCAAGACGGCCCGAGAGAGCCCCGAGACGGCCCCAGAGCCGCCCAAGACGGCGCAAGAGGGCCCCAAGAAGGCCCCAAAAGGACCCAAGAGAGGGAACGCGAACCGAAAAATCAAGCTCTCCGCCCCGAGATGCCCCCAAGAGGCTCCAAGATGCCCCTAGGAACCCCCCAAAAAGCATCAAGAGGACCCCAAAAGGCCCATAGAGGCCTCCAAGAAACCCAAAAGAGGTTCCAAGAGGCCCCGAGACGGCACCCAAAAAGGCTTCAAAACTCATGCTCCGAGGAGGCCAAGAGGCCCCCAAGAGACCCCCAAACGGCCTCAAGCAGCATCGGGGAGGCCGGAAAGAGGCCCCCAAGAGCCCAGCGGTCCAGGAGGGGGCCGGACAAACATTTCCAGCCCTGGGCTCCCAGAAGCCCCACAGGACGCCTCACGTAACTCGCAAGACCCCCCCACCGACGCTCCCGAGACGCCCAAAAGGTTTCCCAGACAGCCCTAGATGCAAAAAAAACTGCGATGCCCAGTGGTGCGTTTGTGCAATATTTTTGAGACTTGGCCACGAAAAGCGCCTCGGAGGCAGAAAGGAGGGTCATCCGGTTGCTGACTGGACCGGGCCGCAACCGGGCCTGGGGGCCCGGTGTCCACGACCTCTACCCCAAGTGTGTGGCCTGGGGGCTCGGCCGGACCGTGAGGGGCCCAAAATCGCATCGGAAGGCGGTCCGATGAGCGTCACGGCGGCCCCAGCCTGCCGCCCACTACCCTGAAGACGGCTTTGACGGATCACGGGACGTCTCCAATGCCCCCAGAGGCTTCGAAGACGCTTCTTAACCCGTGCAATTTGCCCCACGAGGGCCCCGAGAAGCAAAAATAACATCATTCCTTCCGTAAAACGTATCGGTTTACCGTATTCGTGATTTTCGTCTTCGCACCATCCTTGACGACCTGAGGGGTCCCTAAGATCGCCCCTGCACGGCCCAAGAGGCCCCCCAGAGGGCGCCAAGACGGCCTAAGAGGGTCCCAGGCCGGTCGCAGAGGCACCCAGACGGTCCCAACAGCCTCCCAGAGGGCTCCTAGAGGAACCCAAGATAGGGCAATCCAATTGGAATTGCCAGCCCCACGCCCCAACAGGACCCCCGAGACCCCCACGAGGCCCCAAGCAGCCAACACGAGGCCTGCAAGACGCCTCATAACCCGTGCAATTTGACCCCCCAGAGGGCACCGAGAGGCAAACATGGCCCCGTCCTCTTCGTAAAACGTACATGTCAACCGCATTCGTGTTTTTCGTCTTCGCACCGTGCTTGCCCCCAAGAGGCCCCCAAGCAGACCCCAGGAGGCTTCCACTATATGTATGTCTGTATGCATGTCTGTCTGTCTGATTGTATGTATGGATGGATGGATGGGTGGATGGACGGATAGATGTATATGTATATGTATATGTATATGCATATGTATAGGTATATCTATATGTGTATGCAAATGTATATTTATATGTATATGTATATGTATAGGTACATGTATACATGTGTGTGTTTATGTGCATGTATATGTATATGTATACATGGCTAGGTGTATGTGTATAAATATGTACATGTATATGTATATTTATGTGTTGGTATATGTAAATATACTTGTATTTGTATAGGTCTATGCTTATAGATCAATGTATATGCATATGGTTAGGCATATGCATATGTATCTGTATGTGTATATACATATGTGTATGTGTGTATGTATATGCATATGGTTATGCATGTGCATATGCATATGGTTATACATATGTGCATGTGTATATTCATTTGTATATATTTATGTATATGTATATGTTTTTGCATATGTACATGTGTATGTATATGTATATGTATATGTACATGCATGTATGTATGTATATGTAAATGTATGTGAATACGAATATGCACATGTATATGCAACCTATGTATATGTATATGTATATGTATATGTACATGTGCATGTGCACACAACTGTATAGGTATATACAAATGTATTTGTATATGTATATGAATATGTATACGTATATGTATTTGTATACGCATATATTCATATGTATATCTATATGTATATGTATTTGTATATGCATATGCATATATATATATATATATGTTTGCGTATATGTATATGTATATGTATATGTATATGTATATGTATATGTATATGTATATTTATATGTATAGGTATATGTATATGTATATGTATATGTATATGTATGTATATGTATATGTATAAGTATATATATATGCATATGTATATGTATATGTATATGTATTTGTATATGTATGTGTATACGTATATGTATATGTATATGTATATGTATAGGTATATGTATATGTATATGTATATGTAAATTTCCATGTGTATGCACACACACATATATAATATGTGTTTTTTTGTGTGACTAGGTATATGTGTATGTAGACGTATATGTAAATGTATGTGTGTATGTATTTGAATATGTATAGGTAAATGTGCATTTATATGTATATTTTCATGTATATGTATATGCAGATGTATATGTATAGGTACATGAATAGATGTACACGAGACTATGTCTATGTACACGTATGTATGTTTCTCTCTCTTTCTCTCTCTTTATCCCCGTGCACGAGGCCCGGGCGCCCAGGGCCGCGACCACGACAGGGCATGGGAGGACCAGGGTTTCCCAGACCGCTCCCAGAGCACCCCGGAGCGGCCCTGGAGCTCTCAGACTGCCCCAGAGAGCTCCCAGAAGCCCTCGGGGACTTCGACAAGCCCTTCCAAGACAGCCCAGATAGGCCCAATGTGGCCCAAGATGGGTTCGAGACCGCAAATACACAGCCCAAGAGGCCTCCAAGAGGCCTCAAGAGAGCTCCGAGAAGCATCCCTAGAGAGCCCGAATAGGCTCAAATCCTTGATTTCCACTGGTTTTTGCGATGTTTTTCGTTGTCTCGCGTTTTCGACCTCCCGGCGCTCCACGACAGCCGACGACGCCCCCAAGACCGCCCCAAGACCGTCGAAAAGGCCTCCAACAGAGCCCCAAGACTGCCCCAGGGAGCTCGAAAATTGCCCGGGACGAGCCTCAGACGGCCCAAGAGAGCCCCAGGACAGGCCCAAGCTGGGCCCCAAAGCGGGAGCGGAAGGCCCAAGGCGGTCCTGATGGCCCCAACGTGGCCCCAGATGGGCTCAACACGGCCAATACACAGCCCATGAGCCCTCCGATTATGTATGTATGTATGTATGTATGTATGTATGTATGTCTGTATGTCTGTATGTCTGTATGTCTGTATGTCTGTATGTCTGTATGTCTGTATGTCTGTATGTCTGTATGTCTGTATGTCTGTATGTCTGTATGCATGCATGCATGCATGTATGTATGTATGTATGTATGTGTGTGTGTATGTATGTGTATGTATGTATGTATGTATGTATGTATGTATGTATGTATGTATGTATGTATGTATGTGTGTGTATGTATGTATGTATGGTTGTATGCATGCATACATGCATGCATGCATGCATGCATGTATGTATGTATGCATGTATGTATGTATGTATGTATGCATTTGTGTATATGCATATGTATATGTATGTGTATATGTATATTCATACACATATACAGATACATGTATATGTTTGTACATATGTATGTATGTATGTCTGTATATATGTATGCATGCATGCATGCATGTATGTAGGTTTATGTATGCACACACAAATACGCGCATATATGTATGTATGTATGTATGTATGTATGTATGTATGTATGTATGTATGTATGTATGTATGCATGTAGGTATGTATGTATGTATGTATGTATGTATGTATGTATGTATAGGTGCATGTATATATACATATGGGTAGCGGGTTCCGGGCCCCCCGACGTGCATTGATTTGTCTTCTGGCCGTTTCGGGCCCGGCGGGGGGCGCCAAAAAAGTCACAGGGGACCGAGGGACGTCCAAGAGGGCGCCTTGATGGCCCAAGAGCGCTCCAAGAGAGCCCAATACCGCACAAGAGTGTTCCAAAATTGGTCCAACATGTCTTTGAAGACAGTCCAAGAGGGCTTGAAGATGGCCAAGATGCCTTCAAATGGGCTCCCACGAGACACTCGAGAGGCGAAACAAGTAGGTTTCCTCAATGGTTTTTGAAGGTTCTTCGTGTTCTCGCTGTTTCGTGCTTCCCACGGTCCAAGACAGCCCATGAGGCCCCAGAAACCAGCTCAAAACGGCCCAAGAGGCACCCAAAGAGGGCGCCATGACGGCGCAATAGAGAGCCCCAAGACGGCCCAGAGAGTGCCCCAAGGCGGCCCCAGAGGCGCCCCAGATCGCCCCAAGAGAGCCCCAAGAGGGGCCCAAGAGGGAACACGAACCGACAATTCGAGCCTTCCGCCCCAATAGGCCTCCAGGAGGCCCCAAGACGCCCCCAAGAGAGCCCAAGAGGCCCCCTAGAAACCCCCTAGAGGCTCCACGAGGCCCCACAGGAGCCCCAAAAGACGCCCCACGAGCATCCGTAGCCATCTTGGCTCAAGGTGGCTGTGACTGCAGCGCGCAAGCGCTCATCAAAGTTGCCCATCACCATGCGGACCCCGCGACCAGGCCCCTGGGGCCCGAGGCTGCCCACTTTTCCAAACCTCCCCCCTCCCCCCGCGGTGCCCTTGAAAGTAGAAGTCGGATTACCTGTGTGTATATATATATATACACATACAGATGCATGTATGTACATATGTATAGAAGGGGGAACACGAACTGACATCTGAAGCCCTTCGCCCCAAGATGGCCCCCGAGACCGCCTGCAGGCCCCCCAGAGACCCCAAGAGGCCCCCCGAGTGCCATTGCAGTTGCATGTACATGTGTACACACACACGAATGACAACTTCAGTGTCTGGGCAGAGGGGCCACCCTCTCCGCTCCCCGTCGTCGCCTCGCTCTTCCTCGCTCCCCCCCCCTGCTCGCCTCGCTCTTCCTCGCTCTCCCTCGCTCCAGTCCCCGCTCCTCGCTCCGCTCCTCGCTCCTCGCTCCAGTCCTCGCTCTCCCCCACGCTTCCTCTGGTGCCCCTCCGCCCAGGTGCTGGCCGGCGGCATCACCGGCGCTGCGGGCTCCATCCTCGCCAATCCGCTGGACCTGATCAAGGCGGGCGCGCCCGCGCGCCGGTGCGCGCCTGCGGCCCGCGGGTCGGGGCGAGCAGGAGGAGCGGGGTGAGCGCCGCGGGTGCGCATGCGCTCAGCGGCCAGCGGCCCAGAGGGTGAGGGGGAGGTTGCACTCGGCGGCGAGCGAGGGGCCTCGACGATGATGCTGATGATGACGATGATTGTGATGGTGATGCTGACGAATATGATGATGCTGCTAATGATGATGGTGATGATGATTTTGATGATGATGATGACGACGAATGATGGTGATGATGATGATGATGATGATGATGATGATGATGATGGTGCTGATGATGATGCTGATGATGATGATGCTGCTGCTGATGATGATGCTGCTGCTGATGATGATGATGCTGGTGCTGATGATGATGATAATGATGACGACGGATGATGATGATGATGATGATGATGATGATGATGGTGATGAGGATGAGGATGATGATGATGATGATGATGATGATGATGTTGCTGATGCTGATGATGATGATGATGCTGATGATGAGGATGATGATGATGATGGTGATGATGATGATGATGATGATGATGATGATGTTGATGATGATGATGATGATGATGATGATGATGATGCTGATGGATGATGATGATGATGATGATGATGATGATGATGATGATGATGATGCTGATGATGATGATGATGATGATGATGATGATGATGATGATGATGATGATGATGATGATGATGATGATGCTGATGATGATGATGATGATGATGATGATGATGATGATTCTGCTGATGATTCTCGGGCTTACGCCGCACCGCCGGCCCCTTGGGGGTGTAGTAAATGCCGTCTGGTGGGGGCATAGTGTCAGCCTTGTGGGGGTTCTGATGGGATCTCCTGTTGTCTTCTTGGGGCCGAGGGCTCGGAGTGTCCGATCGGGTCCTTTGGCAGGTTTTCTTTTGGAGTTGGTCTTGGGCGCCTCTGTGGGCGTCGTGGAGGTCGCAGCTACCGTCGTGGGGCCGTCGTGGGGGCCTTGTGGGTCCTCTACGAGCGTGTGGAAGTTCAAAGCGCGAGATTTCCCGCAAACCGCGCACAATGCCCACATAGCCCCGAGTTTGTCGTTGGTCGGGTAGAGCAGGGGGTGTAATCCAGAAGGAATACTGACACGGGTCCCAGCGACAGCGCCGCAGTCGGTCTCCTTCATTCGCACCCGATCTCCCATCGTCCATTCTTTTTATGAATTCATATAATTCCAGCTCAACCGGTGCGTGAATGATGCTTGTATTTGTACTTGGTGGCATTCGGCCCATTCCGCCACTGTGCCTGGGCTGTGGCTCAGAAGCCTCTTGGATGTGCGGTGGGATCTCGTGAGAAGCGTCGCTGGGGCCTTCCCGAGGTAGTTCGGCGGCCTCTGGGGGGCTGTTTCGGGGCCTCGTGGGGCCTCTTTTGGGGCTTTTGGGGGTCTCGTGGGGGCCTCTTGGAGCCCCTGGAGGGCCTCTTGAGCCATCCCGGGAGCCTCGGGGCGGAGAGCTAGAATTTTCGGTTCGTGGTCCACTTCTTGTGCCCTTCTTGGGGCCTTTTTGGAGGCCTCTTGGGCCGTCTTGAGGCCCTCTTGACCCGTGTTTTGATCCTCTTGGGCCGTCGTGGGCCCTTCTCGGGGGCCCGACGGGCCGTCTTAAGGCGTTTTTTGGTGTTCGTGGGGCCGTCGTGGAGCGTCGGAAGCTGGGAAAGGCGAGAAAGCCAAAATTTAAAGAAACAGAAAGTAAGGATTTTGGCCTCGTGGGGCCCTCGTGGGAGGTCTCGTCGAAGCCTCCTGGAGCGTCTTCGTTGGAGGCGCCTCTTGGGCCCTCTTTTGGGTCTGTTGGGGGTCTCGTGGGGGCCGAGGGCCTCTTGGGGCATCCCGGGAGCCTCTTGGGGCGGAGAGCTAGAATTTTCGGTTCGTGGTCCACTTCTTGGGCCCTTCTTGGGCCTTTTTGGTGGCCTCTTGGGCAGTCTTGAGGCACTCTTGACCCGTGTTCTGACCCTCTTTGGCCGTCGTGGGACCTTCTCGGGGGCCCGACGGGCCTTCTTAAGGCGAAAGAAAGCCAAAAACTTCGGAACAAATATGACAATCAACGATTTTGGTCTCTTGGGGCCCTGATCGGAGGTCTCTTAGACGCCTCTTGGGGCGTCTCTTGAAGGCATCTTGGGCCGTCTGGAGGCCATCTTGGACGTCTTGGGACGATGTTTCGGCGAAACGGGGCCTTCTTGGACTGTCTTGGAAGTCTTTTAGGGCCCTCGTAGCCTGTTTTCAAGCCCTGGATGCCCCGCCAGCAGAATTTCTGGAGCAAAGGACCCCCCCGGGAAGCCTGGATAGACCTCTCCCCCTCCAAATCGACCGAATCCGGCTCCCGGGGGAGGGGTTTGGGGAGGGGGAAGCATCTCACGCGCCGATGAATCCCAAGGGATCGGCGGATTATGGTGATGACGGTGATGATGATGACGATGCCGGTGATGGTGGTGATGGTGACGGTGACGGTG